CTGCTGCAATACATTTCTCTTTAATTCTTTTCTTGGAGGATTATATATCATCCATTCACGTGAGACTCATTACAATAAGTGAGTCCCTCACTTATTAATGGTAAATGTTCCGTCAAGAAGAAAATTGAATAGAAAATGTAATGAAGATAATTATGATTAGGCCTGTCAACAAATCGGGTTTGGATCGGATTCTGATTGATACAAATTCGAATTCAATTTCAAAAGTCCGATCCTAATCCGACGGATTTTATTTTTTATGGTCTATATACGAATCTGTTAACAATCTGAAAATTTGATCCAATCCAATTCGAATAATAATTAACTAAATATGAACAAATTTTACTTAAATTTCAACCAAATTTGTTTAAATAATCACTTAATTTCTTTAATATTTATATAAAATATATATAATTTGGATCGGATTATATTCAAATTAAATATATGTATATCTAAATTCAAATCCGTAAAATATAAAATATTGAATTTGTGTTTGGATTCGGGTTATTGTAATCTATATTCAGCTAAACAGATTCAAATCAAAATTTGATCCATTAACAAGCTTAATCGTAATGCCTCGCCACCCACCAAAAAAACGCCACAAATTAAATAAAGGCATGAGTTTGTGGTTTTCAACAGACAGTCTTACGTATTGTAAATGCTTTGTTTGTTCACTTCATGCTTTTCCCCCTTTATTTCAAGATCATTTAGTGCAAACAGATTGGATTGGATTGAATTGGTTAGGTTAGCCTATTTCAAGTTTGTTATTTTTTTTTTGTGATTGGTTCATTTATCCGATTCGGATAGGTTGTGGGTGATTGTTTATATTTGAAATCTATGTATTATAATCATAGTTAAACATGCTTAGACGAGAGTACTATTAAAATGAATGATCCCTAAAAAGTCCTTGTGTTGCACCCAATTGTTTGTGGTATTTCAAATATAGTAAAATTATTTATTAAAATTTCTAATATTATGTAACTTAGAATAAAATAGTAACAGTCAAGTGTGAAACAGTTAAATAAAATAGAGAAACAGTTAAACAAAATACATAAACAGTTACAGAAGAATTAACGAAACAATTACAGCAATCTTATCAAAACAGTTACACGACTGTTTGTTTAACCAATATAAATATTAATTTTTTTACAGAACAGGAACTGTTATTGAACTTTATGTAAATCAAGGCTAATGTTTAATATTATATTCTTAAGACAAATTTCGCTCTTACACACGGTCTTATGGAATATAAAGCGTCTGCCTTCTAGGATACAATGATCTTCACATGAGTAGAAGTAACACCCAATCTACTTGTCCAATAAATCAGAAATTGTGTTATGTACTCTCTAAATGCAAACTGTCTTAATGATGTATGAGACTTCCTTAATGATGTATAGAACTAGAACCTTTTCGCCAAGATAGATAGTTTCCATATCAACGAAAATGGAATTTTGACTCTGTTATGGTTGTCGATGTTCCGTGTTTAAGAAAAGCTGAATTATTAAAAACTTGGAGCAATCACTGGTTATTAATCACAATCTGGACTAAAGGAAAATCAAACTCAACCAAATGTCATGATTGTATGATCACTCACACCCAAAATCAATAATCAAAGCAACGTAAAAGTGTAAGATTGTGGAAGAGATAACAGTCTCCCATTCCTGTTGAAAACTACAATAAGCTTCAATTACTATTATATAACAATCTTGCAAAACACTATTAACTTAAATTAATGCTATTAAAAAATTTTTAGTTACACCACAACCCCTCAACCCAATTGCTTGAAACACCATCTTTATCAGTAATCAACATTCAAAATTAAACAATTAAACAAACTAAAACCAAAAAAACATAACTAATCCCAAATGGGTTGTATCTATTTCAAANTGAGATTGGGAAGATATAGAAATTGCCATCACTTATGGAATTATGATCTACAAATCAATTTCGAATAAACTTAATTACCAAATTAGATTACTAATATTGGACTCAGTGACATGTTTAAGGCTAGGCCTTTAGGCTTTATAAGTCTCGTAAATAAGACTAACCCCAATTATCACTTTTTTTTTAATTATTGTGGTTAAAATACAAGTCAATAATTAAAATATTTAAAATGGTTGAAATATAAGTGAGTGGTTAAAATATAAATATAATTAAACTTTTTATTATTACTAAACTATTTATTGTGATGAAAATAAAGTCCATTGAGTCGTAGTTCTTTTACGTCTGAGCCGATATTGTGTTTTATATTTTCAAGAGCCGATATAGTGTTAATCACTTTTAATTTGGCCTTTTAAATTAATCATCATGTTCATATCAATACACATAATAAACCAAAAATTTAAAGTCAGAATATTCTCATCTTTGATCCAAACTTATTACGAATGTCTCATATCATATCATTTTATTTAATCGTGTTTGTCGTTGCAAAATTAGATTCTTCATTTTGACATTAACATGAGTATATTATTATTTGTTTTACCGAATTTTACTCTTTTTTCCCGCTTCATATTGAGAACTAATTATTTCTAATTTTTTAATTTTGTGTCGAATTCACATCGTATTAATGCATCAATATCGTAGATTTCTACCACCTTGGAAGTTTTCATATAATTAGATCAAATTTCGGAGAATGTAAGTCTAATTTATCCAACAACATGATGTTAATAGAGTTCTTGATTACAAAAATTATGACAACACTCCAACTAGGAAAGATTCGTTAGGAGAGTGAGATCTGCTGCAATACATTTCTCTTTAATTCTTTTCTTGGAGGATTATATATCATCCATTCAAGTGAGACTCATTACAATAAGTGAGTCCCTCACTTATTAATGGTAAATGTTCCGTCAAGAAGAAAATTGAATAGAAAATGTAATGAAGATAATCATGATTAGGCCTGTCAACAAATCGGGTTTGGATCGGATTCTGATTGATACAAATTCAAATTCAATTTCAAAAGTCCGATCCTAATCCGACGGATTTTATTTTTTATAGTCTATATACGAATCCGTTAACAATCTGAAAATTTGATCCAATCCAATTCGAATAATAATTAACTAAATTTGAACAAATTATACTTAAATTTCAACCAAATTTGTTTAAATAATCACTTAATTTCTTTAATATTTATATAAAATATATATAATTTGGATCGGATTATAATCAAATTAAATATATGTATATCTAAATTCAAATCCGTAAAATATAAAATATTGAATTTGTGTTTGGATTCGGGTTATTGTAATCTATATCCAGCTAAACAGATTCAAATCAAAATTTGATCCATTAACAAGCTTAATCGTAATGCCTCGCCACCCACCAAAAAAACGCCACAAATTAAATAAAGGCATGAGTTTGTGGTTTTCAACAGACAGTATTACGTATTGTAAATGCTTTGTTTGTTCACTTCATGCTTTTCTCCCTTTATTTCAAGATCATTTAGTGCAAACAGATTGGATTGGATTGAATTGGTTAGGTTAGCGTATTTCAAGTTTGTTATTTTTTTTTTTGTGATTGGTTCATTTATCCGATTCGGATAGGTTGTGGGTGATTGTTTATATTTGAAATCTATGTATTATAATCATAGTTAAACATGCTTAGACGAGAGTAGTATTAAAATGAATGATCCCTAAAAAGTCCTTGTGTTGCACCCAATTGTTTGTGGTATTTCAAATATAGTAAAATTATTTATTAAAATTTCTAATATTATGTAACTTAGAATAAAATAGTAACAGTCAAGTGTGAAACAGTTAAATAAAATAGAGAAACAGTTAAACAAAATACATAAACAGTTACAGAAGAATTAACGAAACAATTACAGCAATCTTATCAAAACAGTTCCACGACTGTTTGTTTAACCAATATAAATATTAATCCTTTTACAGAACAGGAACTGTTATTGAACTTTATGTAAATCAAGGCTAATGTTTGATATTATATTCTTAAGACAAATTTTGCTCCTACCCACGGTCTTATGGAATATAAAGCGTCTGTCTTCTAAGATACAATGATCTTCACATGAGTAGAAGTAGCACTCCAATCTACTTGTCCAATAAATCAGAAATTGTGTTATGTATTCTCTAAATGCAAACTGTCTTACTGATGTATGAGACTTCCTTAATGATGTATAGAACTAGAACCTTTTCTCCAAGATAGATAGTTTCCATATCAACGGAAATGGAATTTTGACTCCGCTATGGTTGTCGATGTTCCGTGTTTAANGATGAGTGGCAATTACAAAAGTCTTATGATCATTTCTCACTATATCAAGCAAATAAGATAGAACGTCCTTTACTTCTACAACAACATTTCTGAAGCCCATGTTAGGGCCACATGCGGGAAAAAAAATGAGGATCACTGTGTGGACTTCAATTTAGTTGTTTACTTAAGTTCTTTTGGAGTCCATGTATCTTTGGCCAATAAAAAATTCAAATTAAACCATCTAGAAGTCGCATTATAAGATTTATGAGCTAACATACAAAACTAAAACAACATACTGCAAACGAAATTCCTACCATTACAAAAACATTGTTAATGATTCGAGTCAAACAATAATCTTCTTCAGAAAACATTGCTTANTCTTTATCAGTAATCAACATTCAAAATTAAACAATTAAACAAACTAAAACCAAAAAAACATAACTAATCCCAAATGGGTTGTATCTATTTCAAAATCAAACATTGCAGCAAAAAAAAATGGTAACTTGAGGAACATACATGAAAAGGATGAACTAAATATCAAGTCACATACCAAAAAAAAAAAAAGGAGAGAAAAAATACAGAGTGATTCAAATTATGTAATCTGACAATAGAGTATAATTTTTCTTNACACAAAAAGAAAGAAAAAAACCAAATAGAAAATGTTGCTCACAGAACAATCATCATGAACATGCTAAATGGTTTCACCCAGCAGGTTTGTTATTGCAAGAAAAAACNAAAAAAAAAAAGGAGAGAAAAAATACAGAGTGATTCAAATTATGTAATCTGACAATAGAGTATAATTTTTCCTTCGGATTCATATATTCTTATGTATGGTGACAAATGGAAGGAATGGGCTACTACAACCAATCAAAAAAAAATTTCTCTGTTCCTCTCTTCCCCATCCATGACATTCATGTTCTTTAAGGTGCAATACTCAAAACGGTATCAGCTGTAGAGTGTACACCTTCAAATTGAAAAACAAATCTCTCACAAATAGACACATGCACACACACAAAGACACAGAGTACCTAGAGTAGCTTGTTTGTTTGGAAACTTGTTCTCCCAAAGAGAACTCCTTCGAATTTGTCAAATATTTCCCCCAAGACAGCCGATTGAAACTCTCAAAGCTGAGCTCCGAACCGACCAAAGGCAGCTGATGCTCGACGGAGGTGAAATCAAGCTTGAAGATGTCAAGATTTGCCGACGAACTGAAGTGCGCGTCCACCACCCCCGCCATTGTCCCTGTAGCGAGGAAGGGCGTGTCTGTCGCAAACGCCAACGACGCCGATCTATTCACCTCCTTTATACACGTCATGTGGATCACCGCCATGTTTTATACACGCGAAGATGTCAAGATTTGCGCTAACCAAAACTATACCATCAATGACAAACCTGAAATCCTACAAAGTTAAAAAATTAATCAAAACCCAATGAAAAGAATCTAATGAATGCCACAAATAATTGCCAAAATCAAACAAAACCCATCAAAGAGGAACATAAATTAAATCAATTATACCCACAAAAATTCATATCAAACAAAAGAGTATACAATATTTGTCATAGGCATTTCAAAAAATACTTCACGTGTATTACGATTAAGAGCAAATCAATACCAAATATCATGCGTCACTGGCTGTCGAATAAGAGAGAAGGGGAAAGGTAGGCAGAGAGAAATAGAAAAGAGAATGAGACAGTAAGAAGGAGATACCTGGCTATGTTGTTGGTGGGTGCGGGTGTTATAGGAGCAGAAAGAGGTGGAGAGATAGCAAAAGGCGGGAAACATACCTGGTTGGTGGGTGTTGGTTGTTTACAGTTGGGGGCAGATGAGGAAGGGGGGCTAAGGCAATGGTTGGTAAAGGGTTGGTACTCCGATGAATGGCTGGTGGAGTTACTGGTGATCGTTGGGTGTCGACAACTTGGGTTGTCGCTGGAATAATAGAGATGATGAAAGATTGGGAGAGATTGGGAGAGAGAGGCCGAAGTGAGAGAGAGAGAGTCTGTATGAGAGAGAGATACACTCCTATATGATATAGGAGTGCAAAGTCTTGCAATGAAAAGCTTCTTCATGGGTGGAAAAATAATATTTAATACTCACTGTAAACTGTTAGATCATAATTTTTAAGATGATCTGAACCGTCTTTTATGTTAAGATCACATTGTTCATTAAATATATTTATGTTTTAACTCAAAACGATATAAATCTCTATTTATCTTTTGGATTCAAATTTTATTCTACTTTATTATATATACTAGTAATTACCTGTGCTTGAAAGCACTATGAATGAACAAAAAATCGTAAACAATTGTCTATACTCAAAAGTACTATGGGACACAAAAAATCTCTATAAAAAAAATTATACAATGGAGCCGTGCTTGATTCAAATTCAATGTTAATTCAAATACATCACTATACATGGGTTTATTGCAATTTTGATTGACAACCCAAAATAATAGAGAACAAAATAAAAGCTACCTAAGATTTAAAACAAAAAAGACGGAGTGTTTTCTTACAAAAAGTCACTAAAATTCCAATGAACATTTATATAGCTTAACAATGGGTACTGCTCATACAACAAACCTCGTCCCCAAACTCCTTTGAGAACATTTCAAATGGCCATCAACCATTCTCCACAAACTCCTTTGTCAATCTCTCATGCACCTCATTTTGTTGTCACGGGGCTTCCCACATTGAATATGTATCTGCATAGCACATGCCTCCTACTTCGCTTGGAATAGTTCAATATACCATTAAAAAAAGTGCTAATGAATTTTTCAAATATAGTTGCAAATATTTTTTCTTGAACAAATTGCACTAAAAAACAGACAAATTTAAAAAATCCATATTGAATTGTCCAAACATCAATTAGATATATACCCCATACATTGCACCGGTATATATGAATCCCAAATATAAGTTATTTGCACTCATAGTTGAAGCAGTCAAACCTTAATTGCCAGTAAACCCATCTCAATCCATCTAGAGTCAAAATATCACTAAAAAATATATATTTTCCAGATCTACTGGCAACCGACAATGATGCATTTAGTGACCAAAGACAATTGTGTCAATCCTCTCACTATATGGCTTGAGCAATTCCAATATTTTATAGGAGCAATGTTATGTTACATGAGCAATGGTAACAGCTAATAAGCATTTTCACTCACATATGCACACTCATCAATTATCTGTTTTCATCTTTTTCTCATATAACCTAATAGAAAACTTCATTAGAAATGGAAATTACAGCTCATCTAGGAATACAAACCTTTTAGTTGGGCTTCAATGACAACATAGCTAGTATAAACCAATCATGCATGACTAATAGAAGATGAAGCTCTCCAATTGCATCGCATAACCATCTATTCCAACCTTCCATGGTATGTACAATGTCTAAAAGTACCACACTACATGATCATGAGAATGATGATCACCTGCATCTAATGAGATTTAGATGAGTGGCAATTACAAAAGTCTTATGATCATTTCTCACTATATCAAGCAAATAAGATAGAACGTCCTTTACTTCTACAACAACATTTCTGAAGCCCATGTTAGGGCCACATGCGGGAAAAAAAATGAGGATCACTGTGTGGACTTCAATTTAGTTGTTTACTTAAGTTCTTTTGGAGTCCATGTATCGTTGGCCAATAAAAAATTCAAATTAAACCATCTAGAAGTCGCATTATAAGATTTATGAGCTAACATACAAAACTAAAACAACATACTTCAAACGAAATTCCTACCATTACAAAAACATTGTTAATGATTCGAGTCAAACAATAATCTTCTTCAGAAAACATTGCTAAGCAAAGTGCATAACATTCCTTATCATACAATGATCATCAAACAAACTCAAACACATCACTCACCCCATATATTCCAAAAGGGTCCAAATCATAGTAAAAAAAAAGGGAGGTGGTGCAGTAAGTTATGTGTGTCTCGCCTATTACCATTCTCTAAAAGGAAATATATTTAATAATCCACCTATTGCCCTTCTCCAAAATTCTAAAAAAGTACCAGAAAAGCAATAATTTAAACACACAAAAAGAAAGAAAAAAACCAAATAGAAAATGTTGCTCACAGAACAATCATCATGAACATGCTAAATGGTTTCACCCAGCAGGTTTGTTATTGCAAGAAAAAACAACTAAAAGAAGAAGTTATTTTCCATCATTGGAATTGTGGTTGCAATAATGATCTATTGAGATCACGCCATGAAACTTGGTGCACGTTCACCATAGCATGACATGAAAAGCAACTCAAATATGAATGTGGATCATCGAACAATCTAATCAAATCCGAAGACACTCATGGAGATATTTCATCAAACAAATGTTATGCTAAAAATTATATCAAACTAAAAAAATTGAACACAAAGATCCAACCCCTTCATTGCAAACAAATAGAGTTTGAAACTCAAAATTTAAAGCACTCACAGAACCACTGCTCCTCTATGTCTCATACTTTCTAATGGGCTGCCAGTTACACCCAAAATTTTTAGGCAATTTTCTATCAACAACTCCTCAATCCAAACACCCCAAAACAAAATTCCCAGTTTATTATTCCATGATACGTATCCACAATCAAAATTTCAGATCTGTAACAAAAATTTATACAAAAAATCAAACCAACAATAAATTCTAACAATTAATCAAGTAATCAGCATAAAAAGTCAAAATAAACTACCTTTAAATGACAGCGTGTGATTGTGAATCTCTGAAGAGTTTGTGTTGTGTGCTGCCCCAATATTAAATTGTGTACGTGTATGACTGTGTTTGCATGTGAAGTGTGTGCGTGTGTGTGTGTTTTGTGTAGTGAGTGGTGTATGTGTGCAGTGTGAGTGTGTGTGTGGGTGCGCTTGTATGTTGTGTGCGTGTGTTGTTTGTGTATGTTGGAAAGAAAAGAACGAGAAGAAGCAAGAGGGGGAGACAGAGCAACCTTAAAAGTTTTGCTAATGTTGCTGATTGCTGGATTATGTGCAAGAGAGAGATAAATTGAGAGAGGAGGCGGGTGGGAGAGAGTTAAGGCATACGAGTTTGCAAATCAGAGAGATTTTGGGCGTGAGATAAGGGGCGTGAGAGACTTGGAGAGACAGAGAGGCAGAGGTGAGATTGGGATAGATTTGAGAGAGAGAGAGACGCGTGACATAGGAAATGTTGTCGAGCGGAAAAATAAATTTTAGTACTTGGTCGTTAAATCAAAATTTTTGAGATGATTTACATTGTTTTTTATGTGAGGATTACGTTATCCGTTGAATATGTTTATGTTTTGTCTCAAAACAATCTGAACCTCTTTTTATCTTTTAGATTCAAACTTTGTTCTACTTTATTATATATATATAATAAAATAGAAGTGTGTTTGAATTTTATCTCAGTCATATTTTTCTTCTCTAAATCATCATCAATCACTTATCTTATTCATCAACTCTTTGTCAAACTCAAACGTCAAATCACATAATTCATTTCTATCACATATTTAATCATTTATATATTTCCTCCCTAAAAATATCATACTACTCATTTCTATCATATATTTAATCATTCAATATTTAATTAATTTGTAATTAATATATTTTGAAAAAATTTAATATAGTGGAATCGATTTTTTAGACACTCAAATTTTATATTTTATCGTGCCTTCAAATACGGGTTATGACTAGTATATATATATATACATATCGTTTCATGCCATCAACCTTGCTTCCACGTCATCTGACCAAAAAGAATAAAGTATTTTATTATGATGATTGATCAAACTCTGAATTTTTTCCCAAAAAAAAAAAGAGAATCAGTCAAGATATTTTGTTAAATATTATATATTGTTCGTTGTTGGGATGTAGGAAAAAAAGAATTTTTTTTATTTTTTTTTAATGGGTGTAACTATTTTTTTAATGAGTGTAATTATTTTTTAATGGATGTAATTATCTTTTTAATGGGTGCAACAATTACAGTCTCATGCAATTGTTAAGGCATGATAGTATAACGATGCCGCAATATTAAATGATGCAAGTATTTAGTTTATGTAAATAACTGAATGACAAATTGAGTTGACGTCATAATTTTGTATAACTGTTTGGTTTATTAAAACGCATGAACAACTGTTTTGTGTATTATATGACAATTGTAACCGATTGATGTAACTAATTAGTGTAATTGTATTGTTGTAATATTAATATAAATAGAGTAAGAGAAAATAGGGGGAGAGGGAGAAATCGTTAGAAAAAATATGTTCCTATTTTTTCTCTCATTACTTGATTGTAGACACAAAAAAAGGGAAAGAATACAAAAGAATTTTCATTCATACGCTGTTTTACTGATGGCAATAGTGATATTTTAAAAAAATATGCACTTTATTCCAAATAAGTTTTTGACTTGTACTTTTACTCAAATAAGNAGAGAAATTGTTAGAAAAAATATGTTCCTATTTTTTCTCTTATTACTTGATTGTAGACACAAAAAAAGGGAAATAATACAAAAGAATTTTCATCCATACGCTGTTTACTGATGGCAATAGTGATATTTTTAAAAAATATGCACTTTATTCCAAATAAGTTTTTGACTTGTACTTTTACTCAAATAAGTCTAAAAAATTGTACTGGCTTATAAATTCCCTATTTTTTTTTTTTGAAAATTTGGGGATCGGCCTTCTTTTTTTAAACTTATTTGGCAAAAAATTCACTGATAAACTTTGTTTGGGTTTCGGTCCATTTCGATTTCTATTATTCAAAATAATCATTACATCTAATTAAAATAGATTGGAAAACTAAAAACTCCTAAATTTTTGAGTTTTTCTCACATTAAAACTCTTTCTCTCATATCTATCTGTATCCATATACACAAAAGTAACCAAATTTAAACTAATTCNCGATTTCTATTATTCAAAATAATCATTACATCTAATTAAAATAGATTTGAAAACTAAATACTCCTAAATTTTTGAGTTTTTCTCACATTAAAACTCTTTCTCTCATATCTATCTGTATTCATATACACAAAAGTAACCAAATTTAAACTAATTCAAATTTAAAATTCTTTAATTTTAGATCTTCCCTATATTAAGACTATTTTCTCTCTCATATTATATATACATATACGTACCCATAAAAACTATCCCGGTGGATGCAATACTCATACTGGAAATGAAGATCAAGGATAGCTCTATCAATTGCCATATACTTCAAAGATAAATTATGAAGCATTTTTCAAATACTAGAGTTCAGTCTCTTCATACGAATTAGTGAATCATGCAGGATGTTTTTGTGCGAAATGTATTAACATAATTAACAGTAATATAAGACAGTAAGATTGAATAGTAACATAAGTCAATAAATATTGAACAATAACATAAAACAGAAACATGAAATAACATTATATAATACCATTCATCCTCCTTTCATTAATTAGGAAAAATAGTAACATCATGAAGTAATACAATAAATGAGTAACATTATATACTACCATCTATATCTCTCATTTCAGTAACATGATATAATAACACAAGTGTACCCTCATCCTCCTTTCATTAATTAGAAAATAATAACATCATAAAGTAACATCGAGAAATTAAAAATATTATACAATATAGTATGAGTATTTTGTAAGAAACATCACATATTCAAAAACGATCAGAGTCAATTGAAATTAGTAATATGATAACCAATAACTTGGTCTTGAAACAATAACAAGATTGAGTAACATGGAAATCAATTGAAATTACCAAAGCAAATATAAAATTTTAATTTGGTTTTTCTTTTGTCAAACCACAAATTGAAAATTTTGAAACTACATAAAACAGTAACAAGAACACAATGGTAACTAAAACAGTAATGTTTAAAATCAAAGACAATAACATTGAACATAAAGACATAAGCAGTAACATAAACACAATGGTAGCCAGTAACAATAACATTTAAAACTAGAGATAATAAAATTGAATTCTAATCACTACACTTGCAGAGAAAATATTCTCAAAAACACTATCATTTAAAACCAAAACAAATAACATTTAAAATAAAAAAAAAATTTAAAACCAAAAATAATAACATTTAAATATTTAAAAACATTTAAAAATTCCATCACCGAAGAGTAGTCATCGGTCTCGGCTCCAAAATCTTCTTCACTAGATACCAATTCCCTAGACCATTGATGCTCACAATGACCCATCTTCTCTCATGTGTTGTTCACCTTCTGATANTGTTAATCACTTTTAATTTGGCCTTTTAAATTAATCATCATGTTCATATCAATACGCATAATAAACCAAAAATTTAAAGTCAGAATATTCTCATCTTTGATCCAAACTTATTACGAATGTCTCATATGATATCATTTTATTTAATCGTGTTTGTCGTTTCNAAATTTAAAGTCAGAATATTCTCATCTTTGATCCAAACTTATTACGAATGTCTCATATCATATCATTTTATTTAATCGTGTTTGTCGTTGCAAAATTAGATTCTTCATTTTGACATTAACATGAGTATATTATTATTTGTTTTACCGAATTTTACTCTTTTTTCCCGCTTCATATTGAGAACTAATTATTTCTAATTTTTTAATTTTGTGTCGAATTCACATCGTATTAATGCATCAATATCGTAGATTTCTACCACCTTGGAAGTTTTCATATAATTAGATCAAATTTCGGAGAATGTAAGTCTAATTTATCCAACAACATGATGTTAATAGAGTTCTTGATTACAAAAATTATGACAACACTCCAACTAGGAAAGATTCGTTATGAGAGTGAGATCTGCTGCAATACATTTCTCTTTAATTCTTTTCTTGGAGGATTATATATCATCCATTCACGTGAGACTCATTACAATAAGTGAGTCCCTCACTTATTAATGGTAAATGTTCCGTCAAGAAGAAAATTGAATAGAAAATGTAATGAAGATAATTATGATTAGGCCTGTCAACAAATCGGGTTTGGATCGGATTCTGATTGATACAAATTCGAATTCAATTTCAAAAGTCCGATCCTAATCCGACGGATTTTATTTTTTATGGTCTATATACGAATCTGTTAACAATCTGAAAATTTGATCCAATCCAATTCGAATAATAATTAACTAAATATGAACAAATTTTACTTAAATTTCAACCAAATTTGTTTAAATAATCACTTAATTTCTTTAATATTTATATAAAATATATATAATTTGGATCGGATTATAATCAAATTAAATATATGTATATCTAAATTCAAATCCGTAAAATATAAAATATTGAATTTGTGTTTGGATTCGGGTTATTGTAATCTATATCCAGCTAAACAGATTCAAATCAAAATTTGATCCATTAACAAGCTTAATCGTAATGCCTCGCCACCCACCAAAAAAACGCCACAAATTAAATAAAGGCATGAGTTTGTGGTTTTCAACAGACAGTCTTACGTATTGTAAATGCTTTGTTTGTTCACTTCATGCTTTTCCCCCTTTATTTCAAGATCATTTAGTGCAAACAGATTGGATTGGATTGAATTGGTTAGGTTAGCCTATTTCAAGTTTGTTATTTTTTTTTTTGTGATTGGTTCATTTATCCGATTCGGATAGGTTGTGGGTGATTGTTTATATTTGAAATCTATGTATTATAATCATAGTTAAACATGCTTAGACGAGAGTACTATTAAAATGAATGATCCCTAAAAAGTCCTTGTGTTGCACCCAATTGTTTGTGGTATTTCAAATATAGTAAAATTACTTATTAAAATTTCTAATATTATGTAACTTAGAATAAAATAGTAACAGTCAAGTGTGAAACAGTTAAATAAAATAGAGAAACAGTTAAACAAAATACATAAACAGTTACAGAAGAATTAACGAAACAATTACAGCAATCTTATCAAAACAGTTCCACGACTGTTTGTTTAACCAATATAAATATTAATCCTTTTACAGAACAGGAACTGTTATTGAACTTTATGTAAATCAAGGCTAATGTTTGATATTATATTCTTAAGACAAATTTTGCTCCTACCCACGGTCTTATGGAATATAAAGCGTCTGTCTTCTAAGATACAATGATCTTCACATGAGTAGAAGTAGCACTCCAATCTACTTGTCCAATAAATCAGAAATTGTGTTATGTATTCTCTAAATGCAAACTGTCTTACTGATGTATGAGACTTCCTTAATGATGTATAGAACTAGAACCTTTTCTCCAAGATAGATAGTTTCCATATCAACGGAAATGGAATTTTGACTCCGCTATGGTTGTCGATGTTCCGTGTTTAAGAAAAGCTGAATTATTAAAAACTTGGAGCAATCACTGGTTATTAATCACAATCTGGACTAAAGGAAAATCAAACTCAACCAAATGTCATGATTGTATGATCACTCACACCCAAAATCAATAATCAAAGCAACGTAAAAGTGTAAGATTGTGGAAGAGATAACAGTCTCCCATTCCTGTTGAAAACTACAATAAGCTTCAATTACTATTATATAACAATCTTGCAAAACACTATTAACTTAAATTAATGCCATTAAAAATTCTTTAGTTACACCACAACCCCTCAACCCAATTGCTTGAAACACCATCTTTATCAGTAATCAACATTCAAAATTAAACAATTAAACAAACTAAAACCAAAAAAACATAACTAATCCCAAATGGGTTGTATCTATTTCAAAATCAAACATTGCAGCAAAAAAAAATGGTAACTTGAGGAACATACATGAAAAGGATGAACTAAATATCAAGTCACATACCAAAAAAAAAAAAAGGAGAGAAAAAATACAGAGTGATTCAAATTATGTAATCTGACAATAGAGTATAATTTTTCCTTCGGATTCATATATTCTTATGTATGGTGACAAATGGAAGGAATGGGCTGCTACAACCAATCAAAAAGAATATTCTCTGTTCCTTTCTTCCCCATCCATAACATTTATGCTCTTCAAGGTGCAATACACAAAATGGTATCAGCTATAGAGTGTACACCTTCAAATTGAAAAACAAATCTCTCACAAATAGACAAATGCACACACACAAAGGCACAGAGTACCTAGAGTAGCTCGTTTGATTGGAAACTTGTTCTCCCAACATAATAACAACATTCTAGCATTCTTTATTCCTGATGGTGATTTCCCTGGAACAGGTGGTGTGCGTGACTGTATGGGTGAGTTTTCTGGGCTGAGATGTTTTTGGTTGGGGAAGTTTTTGGCATGGGTTTTTGGGATGGGAGGGGTTTTGGATGAGTGTAGGTATGTGTAGATGTGTGTTGTGTATGACATGTGTGTGTGTTGTGAATAAGAGGAAGAACAGAGAAGACAAGAGTGGGGAGAGAGAAGAGAATGAGACTAACCTTGCAGCCGATTTTGCATTCTATAAAAATTCTGGCTTATTCTCCATGGGTCTCTAAAATCAAGTAATTTCATGATGGAACAACAATCTAAACTTTATCCAATTAAAATATCTATCACCAATATATACATTCAAACTATTATACACCAATTTCAAAAACCCTAGCATTCGATTTCCTACAAAACACCCAAATTAATACCTAATTTTAAAAAAAAAATAGAAAACATTAGAAAAATATATGTTTGTTGTGTGTGAATGTTAACGTGTGCGTGTATGTGTGTGTGTGATCTGCTAGTTTGTTTGTTTGTGTGAGTTTTTGTGTGTGTGTGTGATGTGCGATAGGTGTGTGTTCGAGTGCCTTTGTGTGTGTTTGTGTGAAAGAGAGGTGAGACAGAGAAAGTGCAATTGGAAAGAGATGAAGACAGAGAGAGACAGAGAAGGATATGGGAAGTACCTGGGATGCTTGCTAATCGGTGGTGGGTTGAGTCATGGCAAAGAAGCGAGAGGAGAGATGTAGAAGACATATTACATTGAGACAGAGAGAGAGATAAGGAAGAGGGAAAGAGAGAGAGAGTTGTTGGGTGAGATAATGATGGACACTTAGATGAGAGATAAGGAAGAGAGGAAGGGGTGTCGGGTGAGGATAGAGATTAAAAATGGAAGAGAGAGGCGTGAGGACGAAATGTTGTTGGGCGGGAAAACAAAGTTTGGGACTATTTGTAAACCGTTAGATCAATATTTTTGAGATGATCTGAATCGTTTTTTATCTTGAGATTACGTTGTTCGTTAGATGTATTTATATTTTTTCTCAAAACGATATAAACCACTCATTGTCTCTTGGGTTCAAATTTAGTTCTACTTTATTATATAGATATTGTCACGGGAGCTATCTAATATTTTCGCCTATGACCGGAATTTAAACTCAAATTTAGGATGATCCGCCCCTATTTGCTACTTGTTCATACTTACTTGAAAATGTTCAGACAATAGGCAGCGATTCAACTTTAATTTTTTTTCTATTTTTAGGTATGGTTGTCTTAATAAAGTACATGCCCTTTTATGGCCACCCTGACACTTCGCAAAACCTTTCATTTTTCCACCCTCCATGCACACTATATTAACCCTTCCATTCCCTTATATTTTGATTGCAGTCTTTCTCTAAATCAGGAAGAGAATTTCTGCATTTTATATCAAAAACTCTCTAATTTCTTTGAATTCATAAAAATGGCACGCCAAATTGTTGTTCTTGCCCTCATCTTCTTCGCCATCGTCGGGATGGCCTCAGCGACCGCTGAAGTTCCGGTCGCCTCAGCCGATGGCCCGATAACTCCAGACGTGGTTGATCCTAATGTTATTGGCACTACTGATGGTAGCAGCGATGCAGCACCCATTGGTAGCCCTGTTTCTGAAAGTGCTTTCCCAAACCTCGCCCCCGTCCCATCGGCTAAAAGTGGTGCAGTCACCTTGGACGTTTCCTCCATTGCCGCTACTGCAGCCGCCACTTTTGCCGGTTTCTTCTACTTCTAAATTAGATACTACCATGAGGCACAAGAAGTGAAAATGGTTGATATTCTTTGCTTCTAGGTCTTTTGGAATCAAAAAAAGTGGAGAATGGCTGTGATGATTATACTAGTATCAATATTACTGTTTCAACTTTCATGCACAAGTATTGTATGATATTCAGAGCAAAAAATAAAACAAAAGCCTAGTTATTTTTGAGATTCTGTCATTTTCGACATCTTTAATGTTCAAATTTGTAAGGATTTGAAAAGTTACTTGTTACCATAACCACTGTAATAAATGGTAAAAGCTTCAATTTGAAACCCAAAGACATGTATGGGGTACATCTTAAATGTTATGAAGAGTTGAATAAAGAGAATTTATACTGCTTTTTAATAACTAGATGATGCACATGCACATGAATCATTTTGAACTACAATTTTGATGGACAATGTATTTTAGGTTTACTAAATATGAATATAATTTCATAGTTTTAAATCATTTAAAGAATCAAATACATCAGTAATACATGAGAAAACGAGTNATGTATTTTAGGTTTACTAAATATGAATATAATTTCATAGTTTTAAATCATTTAAAGAATCAAATACATCAGTAATACATGAGAAAACGAGTGACATTGATCTTTTATACCCAATATTTTTTCTTATAATTTGTTGTCCATTTATTCAGTACCGGAAAATATTCATAAAATAAAANGTGACATTGATCTTTTATACCCAATATTTTTTCTTATAATTTGTTGTCCATTTATTAAGTACCGGAAAATATTCATTGAAGTGCATACATCATAAAATGGAGGGTACAATTGTTTTTATATTATTAGTTATGAATAAAATAAAAAAAATTAATAATTTAATCAGTTAACGTTCTACAAAAAAATACATATATGTTTCATATCAATAACAGAAGAATGAGTGATACAAAATGTCATTTTTCTAATAATAAACCTTTATTCTTTGATTTGTTGTGCGGGAACATACTACTTGAGAAAATGCTCAATCTTGGTGGNTTCTAATAATAAACCTTTATTCTTTGATTTGTTGTGCGGGAACATACTACTTGAGAGAAAATGCTCAATCTTGGTTGAGACCAAGAGTCACATACCTGTACAACTAATAACCTATTTAGATGATAATATCCAATATGTTCCAAAAGACAAGAATATGTGTTATTACTAAAATGAATATGTGTTCTAATGGGACACGGGAGGAAAAACTGATGAAATTAATAAAGAGGGTTGAAACTTGAGTTTTAATATGACATATATATTGGAAGTTCTTATTTAATTGACCTTATGATATTGATTAAGGATAAAATTGATAAATCAAAATCAAGATCAAAAAGCCATGTGATAATATGATATACTTTTAATACTTTTTGGGACATTCAATACACTTTCTAATATTAATAAGAATGAAACGNATATATTGGAAGTTCTTATTTAATTGACCTTATGATATTGATTAAGGATAAAATTGCTAAATCAAAATCAAGATCAAAAAGCCATGTGATAATATGATATGCTTTTAATACTTTTTGGGACATTCAATACACTTTCTAATATTAATAAGAATGAAACGATAGAGCATGAATTCGAGCACTATGGTTCATCATTTGGTACAAAGGCACAATATTAATGTTAAAAATCTCATGTACATCATTGCTAAGTTTGACATGAAGATGTAACAATTAAGTTTCCATACAATATACACTTAAGAAAATTATTTGCAGTTTTCTGATGAAATTGAATTTTTAACATCAATATGGTGTAGAGCTTAGTTCATACTTTTGTAAGGAGATAAAGGACCAGAAAAATAAATTATGGTAAGGCTTCTTGCTAAGAATATCATTTCTCCTTATTTGAGTCTTACACTAAAACAAAGAATTAAGAAATGAGATTAACTAACTCTCTCCATTAATTAGCATGTAATTCACTTCATTGCTTAATATACATTACTTGCTTTGACACGAAATTAATGTACACAATCAATACTATTAAAATACAATTTTTTTTACTTATATCATCTGGTTCAAATCATGACAATTCGAAACCCAGAACTTGAATCATCAAAGAAAAACAATGAAGTTGAACTGAACATTCTTGAAGGAAAAGAAATTTACTTCGAAATAAAACCCTGCTTTTTCACACATCCATTGCATGACATCCATTATGAAAACTTCTCCCGACTACATTTGAAGGAAACTTTTTATGATGATTTTTTGATAGTCTAGCACTTTGTTCATCATTGTACTTGTCGAAACAATAGTCCTAAGATCCGTTGATGGCACATATAATTGATTACAAAAATTTTACTCATTTATTAATCTTACAAAGCATAATTAGGGTTTATCTTTGACGAGCAAATCCACACGAATGAAGAACATATGCAGATCGAACAGCATGTTCGATGAACCTCACGATCTTCTACTGNTATAATTGATTACAAAAATTTTACTCATTTATTAATCTTACAAAGCATAATTAGGGTTTATCTTTGACGAGCAAATCCACACGAATTAAGAACATATGCAGATCAAACAGCATGTTCGATGAACCTCACGATCTTCTACCGCATATCCTATCATGCCAAAAATTCGAATACAGTGTGGACTGCAATCCTCTGAATTCTCTCCCTTGCTCTCTCATTGCCTTTGCTAAATGTGAAGATAAATGTTATGGTTGAGAGAATCGTATTACAGTGCCATCTTATAACATTCAAAGAGGACGTTAAAAACAAGTGAGAAAAAGAAAAAGCCTACCTATTGGTAAACATATATTTAGTACAATTATAATTGAATATTTAGTCTCAAAATGAAAAGGATTTGAGAGTTAAAACAAATAATAGAATATGATTGTCTTTATATAATTAATTAGAGATAAAAATAAGTAATCAAAAATATTTTTATTGGTTGACATTTATAAGTAGTATAAATATAGATTTGATAATTAAATACATAAGGATGTAGGTGTCTTTAATTATTTTTATAGGCATATCTACTGAATATAACACGTATACTCACGGAGGATTCAACTTTTCCCCAATTAAAACAAGATTACAAGGTTTTTTTGTTATCCCTCATGTGATGTGATTATATTAGTATTGTGCGGGTGATTTTTTGCACAAGAATGAGATAACGACACTTTAGTTGACACTCGAGGGTTATTTTCAAGCTTGAGGGTGACGAAAACCTGAAGATCATAGCGAAAGNTGTGATGTGATTATATTAGTATTGTGCGGGTGATTTTTTGCACAAGAATGAGATAATGACACTTTAGTTGACACTCGAGGGTTATTTTCAAGCTTGAGGGTGACGAAAACCTGAAGATCATAGCGAAAGGTTAAGAGGAGGCTGGATCTGTGTTTGGCAATTCCCCTCTAATGCTAAAGTTAGTTTTTGAGGAGGGATGAACACTGAATGCTAAGTGTTGGGTTGTGAGAATGCACCTTTCTTTCTCATCTAAGACTTCTATTTATATTTTTTTGGTAGATGACTGTGCTTATCGAGGATATCCTTACGATCCTTTTTGGTGGGAGGGCCCTTGATTGGCTCACCCTCGAGACANTCTAAGACTTCTATTTATATTTTTTTGGTAGATGACTGTGCTTATCGAGGATATCCATACGATCCCTTTTGGAGGGAGGGCCCTTGATTGGCTCACCCTCGAGATAGTAGGGATGTTTCTTTGACCTCGTCAGGTGGTTAGGCAAAGAGTAGAGTGTCACCTTGACCTCAATCCTCGATTCGTTACAGGCATGCTAATCTGATGCCTATTAATGACACTAATCCCTTAGCTTCCAGATCCTCACTAATCATTAATATTGATGTCGAGCATTCACTGTAAAACTTGACATTTGTTAACATATTCTACAGGAATAAATGCTCAGCATCACACTATACACCAAGTGATTAATGCCCTCTTTCTACCTGTCCCCCAAGACGCCTCTGAGTCATTTTTCATATGCTCCTGAGAGACATTTATCGCATCCTTAAAGGTCTCTTTCATGATTTGTTGTAACGTACTACCTTGTTGAATTTGACAACATGGGATGAAGGATCCACACCATCTAACAATCGGGCATAGTTCCTTATAAGATATTCTTTCGTTTATTCCTAGGTGGTCGTTCCCAATATAGAACCAGCTATCGTGTTTAATTATCAAATTTAATTTTTAAATCCACGTACCTCCCTCTTTTCATTAGGAGTGTTCAAATTTTTGATTGACCAAAATTTCCTACCCTACTCGATCCTGCGACTAACTGTAAGAATCGAGTAGGAATGCAGAAGAATTTTTGGTCTTCTGATTAAATCAGGTAGGAATGCGAAATATCCATCAATTTTTGCATTCCTACCCCACCCTACTCGCAATAATTAATATATATATATATATATATAAACTAAAAAAATCCTAATCGTCTATTGAGTTCTGTTTAAACACTTCACACGGTCACACCTTACTCCACTCCTCCTTCATCTCTATTCCTCCTTCATCGTTTAGTCCCATTCCCAGGTACTCTCTCTCTCTCTCTGCACTATCTAGTGTGGTTTGGTTCTTTGTTGTCATTTTTCACTTTTTTGGGGTTTGATGTATGTTTACTTGAAGTTGCAAAGACTACTTATTTTGGATGTGAGTTTTGTTTGTTTATTGTTTAAAAGCTTATTTTATTGAAAGCTTTTGGTCTGCTTTCCCAATGCCAGTTGGGGCTTGGGCTTCAAAGCTCGAGTGTCAGATCGGGTAGGATAGGCCAATTATGTAATAATTAAAATAATTGATATTGTATTTGTGTAATAATTATGGTGGATTGATATTCATACTTTTTTGTGTTTTATTGTAATTGTTGTTGTAGTTGTTTTAGATTTTAGTGTTGTTAAATTGGTGCATGTTATTTAATTAAATTGTTAAAATAATTCAAAAATTAATAGCTACAAAAGTATTTACCTGACTTCATATCAGATTAATTAGATAGGAAGTCGGGTAGGATAGGACAAAAAAATTTTTCTACAAAATATCGGTAAGAAATCGGAAGAACCTATTTCTTACCGTTGAGTGAACACCCCTACTTTTCATGAGCTTTTGACCTATCCCATGGACTTTTAAAAAAAAGTCCCAAATAAGGGTAATTTTTAAAGTAATTCCCAAATATAGACACTTTTTTAGAACGTCAAACAAATTAACGTTTTTAGGCTAAAGATGTCAAATAGACTAACATTTTTTAGCCCAATATAGTAGGTAAGCCCACCAACTTAAAAACATCATTCGATTTGACGTCTTTATAATAGACGTCAAACGGACTGACGTCGTTGGAAATTTCTGGCGCAGGAATTTCGAAGATAAGTATACTTATACTTGGAAAGGCCACCAAATCAAGCTGTCTTGCTTTGAATATTCTTTCAATATTTAAACAAAATTCAAAAACACAATGCACTTACTTTGACCAAATCGTGCATGCAACATTATCTTTTATGCAATAACAATAGATCAAATTTTGATTCAAATGTGATTAATTGGACATCAATTAATATTTTTTTATTAATAATTTGAATTTGAATTTGATATCTTATATTTTCACGGATTCGAATTATAATATAATTATATCAAATCCGATTATGATTCGATCCGATCCAAATTATTTATATATTTTCATATAAATTTTAAAGAAATTAAATAATTATTTTAAAAAATTTAGTTAATTAAGTTATTTGGAACAGATCAAAATTTGGATTGTTAATAGATTTGAATATGGACCACAACAATAAAATTTATCAGATTCAAATTAGATGTTTGAAATTGAATTCGGATTCAGATCAATCAGAATTTTATCTAAATTTGATTCGTTAACAGGCCTATGTGCGGTACTAGAAAAATAAATTTATTGTATTTCGCCCAATTAAAACCCAGTCTACACTGACAAAAAACCAAGCACCATTGCCTCAATAAATAAATAAAATAATATATATATAATAATCAAACCACTTAACTTGTAAATGAGTGTCTGCACCGACAAAATATCAAGCACCATTGCCTCAATAAATAAATAAAATAATACATATATAATAATCAAACCACTCAATTATTTTATGTTGTACCACATGCACATAAAATAATGTTAAATGTTTATTTAATAAAAAAATTAATTAATAAATAAATTTTGATATTTTAAAAATACATAAATTTCTTTTTGTCCTACTGACATTTTTTTCCCTAATAATACCTAAAAATATTTTTCTCCCTCTTTTTTTAAGAGGATGAGTAATTAAATTTTTATTTATTAAAAATTTAATTACATTCAATAAATAAATTTTGATAATTTAAAAATACTTATATTTTTTTAGCATATCAAACTCCACCGACAAGACCAAGCACACCAAATATGTAATGCTTGAATAAATTAATCTATGTTTGAACAATTATCATAACTGCCCTTTAATTTTATTTTGAGTTTTAATTTAGTCCTTAGTGATAGGTTTTGTGTCTTTTTTTTCTGAGTAAAATATTAAATGTTTATTTTAAAAAAAATTAATTAATAAATAAATTTTTATATTTTAAAAATACATAAATTTTGTTTATGTTATTTATTTAAAAATTTAATTACATTCAATAAATAAATTTTGATAATTTAAAAATACATAAATTTCCTTTATCCTACTGACATTTTTCTCCCTAACAATAATACCTAAAAAATTTTTGCTCCCTCTCTTTGTGAGAGGATGAGTTTATTTTTATTTAATTACATTCAATAAATAAATTTTGATAATATAAAAATACTTATATTTTTTAGCATATCAAATTTTAAAAATTAAAAACATATACATATAATTAAATTTAAGGTTCCATACAAGCTGTGAGTGTTACACCCAATAATTTCTCCTCTAGAAGTATACGTTCTGACAAAATATAAGTTATTCAGAATGTATAAATGTAAAAATAAGATGTCAGCAACGTGGTTGATATTCAAAATAACATACAGAATTATCGAGTACACATAAACATGATGGGATAAAAGTGTCAAACGCATCATCATCCAAATCAGAGAAATCAGAAAGCTCAGGATCAAAAATAAGTAACAAATCCTCTAAAATTTCAATTTCGGCGTATTCAGGATCAAAATGCTCTATTGTAGCATAATCGAGTGCGTGGAAACGATCAAGACGACGCTGTATTTGATCATTTTCATGTTCAAGCCTCGAAATGACCTCGTCATGATTGTTTGAATTCTGTGAATTGTAAATATCAGCCGAATGTGCCTTTGGTACTGCAATTCCATGCCAATGACAAAATACTTTAAGGTCACAACATTTGTTATATAATTGTCGCCATATTGGTGTGAGTTTGATATGAGCACCTGGAGGTGGATAATCAGTTGCAGGCCCAACAATTACATGTCCAGNATATTGGTGTGAGTTTGATATGAGCACCTGGAGGTGGATAATCAGTTGCAGGCCCAACAATTACATGTCCAGCTTGTCCGAATAGGTGATAAGGGTTGATGGGCTCATTGCAGAATGCACGGTTTTGTCCATACCACGTTACACCACTGGATTCGATAAATGATTCGATAGTAGGAACTTTGNAGTATTGAATACCTACAATCGGATAAGCTTAAACTTATAGGGTCACACACAATAGTATTGATTAGAAACTAAAAGATAAAGAAGAGACAATCAATTAAGAGTTAACGGGGGTGAAAACCTAATTAAGAGTTAATTGGGGACTTTATTACAATTANTTGATTAGAAACTAAAAGATAAAGAAGAGACAATCAATTAAGAGTTAACGGGGGTGAAAACCTAATTAAGAGTTAATTGGGGACTTTATTACAATTAATGTTAATAAAGGAGTTTTATGTAATTATGAGATAATTGCAACTTGACCCAAACTAGGATTAGAGCCTTTAAAACTCTATAAATACCTTTATGTAGGAGGTGGATACATGATATAACAACTCTTTTGCTAGTACAAGAAGAACCACCTCTCATTTTCTCTCTCTCTCTCTACTAGTTTATCAATGGTTGAGGTAGTTCCTTCAAGTTTGTCAATTCGTGTGCATATCAATAGAGGCTAAACATTTGCGAGGCTTGGGGTAAAAATCAAATTCAAATTTTAAGATTTAAATTTTTTGAGAATGCTTAAAGATTGTTAAAGGCACGCTTCAAGAGGTAACCCTTAATCTTCTCTGTAGATCTAAGATTGCTCGGTTTGTATTAAACATGAATAGATCTTGGTATGAAAAATCAAATTATTATTTTAAATTCCGCTACGTTTATTATATGATTCCTTTCACCTTGTACTCAGCAACAAATATATTTCAGCTCAGCCCAATTGAGGTATGCAGAATTGGAATGCTTAAAGGGTAAATTACACTTTATCCCCTTAAACTATTGCTTTTATTTCACTTTATACCATCAACTATAAAATTTCTTACATTGCACTCTAAAAAATCAATTTTGTTTTATATCACTCCAATACATAATGGCTATCAATTTTTTTAACAATAATGTACATGTGTCTTGTAAGTGGTTTGTACTGCCAATAAACTGAATAAACAACAGTTTATTGCACATATATAAGTCAAAAATTAAGAAAAATATTTATCCATGACTTTGTCCTTCCTAAGCTCCAAAGTTTTTTACTCTGGCCGACATTCTTTTACTTCTCAGCACCCATTTGGCTGCAAAAAATGTAAAAAAAAAAAAAAATGGTATTAAGTACTTGGTGGAAAAATTTGGGGTTTCTCTCTCCTTTAATAGATTTTCAAGTTTGTCCTTTTAATCCGTCAAAAAACTAATAATCGTTTTCTATTTGAGTAATATGAAATAGAAATGATACTTTAAAGTATAATATGAAAAATTTTACAATCGAGGGTACAAAATAAAACAAGGGTAATAGTTCAGGATAAAATATAATTTACCCATGCTTAAAACATTGAAACAGAGAATGAAATTTAACCACTATCAGATGATGTTTCTTATCATTTTGCCACATTTCTCACAGGATTTGGTATTGGCAATGTTGCTGCTTAGGCTGCTGCGTTTGTTCAGCGACGAAGACATGTCAAAGGAGCTGATGTTGTCGAGCAAGAGACATGGTTCAGTTGATCGAGTTTTTGTAATTTGTGGTGAAGACGAGTTGTTAAAGAAGGATTTTCAAAGATGGATGGTCGAGAAAAATCACCCGAATGAAGTGGTGGAGATCACAGGAAGTGATCACATGGCCATGATGTCTAAGCCGGTTGAGCTTTCAGTTCATCTCCGGTGCATTGCTGACAAGTATTCTTGATCTTCTAATAAGTTTTTGCTGCAAGGAAAAACAGAAAGGTGTGTGTGTGTTTGAGAGAGACGGCGCCGGGCCAACCTATAAGTGACTAAGGCCATTGCCTAAGAAAAATTTAGGGTCCCAAAATAAAATTTTATACAATGGTATGATATTGTGATATAATTTAAATATTTAATACATTTTAACAATTGAACTAGGAGCTTTTGACTTATCCCATGCACTTTTAAAAAAAAAGGTCTCAAATAAGGATAGTTTTGAAAGTAATTCTCAAATGCAGTCAATTTTTAAAAATGTCAAACTAATTGACGTTTTTAGGATAAAGACGTCAAATGGACTGACGTCTTTATCCTAAAAACGTTAGTCCATTTGATGTTTTTTAGCTCAATACTGTAACTTAGCCCACATGATCAGCCCACCATTAAAAACGTCATTCGGTTTGACGTCTCTTATAAAGACGTCATTCATTTTGACGTCGTTGCCTCCACACGCCAAATCAAGCCATGCAGTTGTTAATAACATGTGATCTAGCCACACCAACAAATGTGATGTTTATTTAATAAAATAATGTTAATAAAATGCACTCAACTTGTAAAGGACATATATAATAAATAAAATAATACATATATAATAATCAAACCACTCAATTATTTTATGTTGTACCACCTGCACATAGGGGTGTTCACCCTACCCTATGGGTAGAAAATATGTTCTTCCTTCTTCCTACCCGATACTTTGCGGAAGAGTTTTTTCTTTGTTTACCCTACCTGACAGGTGTGGTATTCCTACCCGATTAATCGGGTAGGAAGTCGGGTAGAAAATTAGGTAAATATTTTTGTAACAATTAATTTTTTGATCATTTTATCAATTTAATTAATAAATAAATTTTGATAATTTAAAAATACATAAATTTCTTTTTGTCCTACTGACATATTTTTCCCTAATAATACCTAAAAATATTTTGCTCCATCTTTTTTTGAGAGGATGAGTAATTAAATTTTTATTTATTTAAAATTTAATTACATTCAATAAATAAATTTTGATAATTTTAAAACATTTATATTTTTTTAGCATATCAAACTCCACCGACAAGACCAAGCACACCAATTATCATAACTGGCCTTAAATTTTATCTTGAGTTTTAATTTATTCGTTAGTGATAAGTTTTGTGTCTTTTTTTCTGAGTAAAATGTTAAATGTTTATTTTAAAAAATAATTATTTAATAAATAAATTTTTATATTTTAAAAATACATAAATTTTGTTTATGTTATTTATTTAAAAATTTAATTACATTCAAAAAAAAATTTTGAATTTTGAATGTCCCGAACAATAATACCTAAAAAAAATTTTGCTCCCTCTCTTTGTGAGAGCATGAGTTTATTTTTATTTAATTAAAAATTGAATTACATTCAATAAATAAATTTTGATAATTAAAAAATACATATATTTTTTAGCATATCAAAGTTTAAAAATTAAAAACATATACATATAATTAAATTTAAGGTCTCATACAAACTGTAAGCGTTACACCCAATAATTTCTACTCTAGAAGTATACGTTTTGAAAAAATATAAGTTATTCAAAACGTATAAATGTAAAAATAAGATGTCAATAACGTTGTTGATATTCAAAACAATATAAAAAATTATCGAGTACACATAAACAGGATGAGATAAAAGTGTCAGACACATCATCGTCCAAATCAGAGAAATCAGAAAGCTCAGGATCAGAAACAAGTAACGGATCCTCTAAAATTTCAATTTCGACATATTCAGGATCAAAATGCTCTATTTTAGCATAATCGAGTGCTCAAAAAAGATCAAGACAACGCTGCATTTGATCATTTTCACGTTCAAGCCTTGAAATGACCTCGTCATGATTGTTTGAATTCTGTGAATTATAAATATCAGCCGAATGTGTATTTGGTACTGCAATTCCATGTCAACGACAAAATACTTCAAGGTCACAACATTTGTCATATAATTGTCGCCATATTGGTGTGGGTTCGATATGAGCACCTAGAGGTGGATAATCAGTTGCAGGCCCAACAATTACATGTTCAGCTTGTCCGAATGGGTGATAAGGGTCGATGGGCTCATTGCGGAATACACATTTCGTCTATACCACGTTACACCACTAGAGTCGGTATATGATTCGATAAAAGGAACTTTGTTCAGCGATGTTGAGCTATCTGTTGAACGTTCACGTTTGTTTCCCGAAGATGAACTATTTTGGTGATTACGTGAAGAAGAACTTGCATGTGATGTGCTCCTATACATTTTGTTTGATGGTGGTGTATTTATACAACTGTGAAAGGTAGTATATATATGCTCGGTTCGGCATAGTTTGAAACTGATTTGCCAGTGATGGAAAATGACAATGAAAAAGTTTGGATACGACAACACACTGCATAAATTGATTAAATTGACAACACACTACATAGATTGATTAAAGTGACAATACACTGCATACATTGACAATTACAAGATGTGACAAGGAAAAAGTTGACATATGACAACACACTGCATAAACTTATAAAGCAACAATGATGATTAAAGTAAATAGGACATAGACATAAACGTTATATGCTTAATAAGGTGAACAGTAATTAAAATTTTTAATTTTCATCAGGCATATACTCATCTGATAGGTATTGTTCATTAGACAAAACCTTAGATCGCTCAGTAGCTGTTAACTCCCTGCCAAATGCAGTTGTGACCATGTCAGTTGCTATGTGGAGCATATAATATCGACACTTGCGGAGCATCATCCTATTATTTTCCTTTCGTATACATTTAACTGATGCTTCATAGTTGATTCTATTCTTTCGGGGCATGGTAAGTGAAAGTCTATGTGGCACCGGTATAGCAAGTTCTGTCAATCTGTGCATAATGACTGTGATTCATTAGCACGAAAAGCCCACTCTCTAAGAAGTCCGGCATAATACTCCTTTGGATCAAAAAATCTCTCACTCTTGTAACCATCATCTCGCTCTTGTAATAACCATACCGGTTCATGCCTACGGCAGGTATCACTTGCTCGCGCCGCTAAAGTAGACATAATGTGCAATACATGTTATATGACCCGCCCTATATTATGTTTTTATAGTGATTTTCATTGTTTAAAATAAATACATTTGTCAGCAGTGCAGTAATGTGTAGTCACCATTATGTTCGAGTTGATGGTCAAACAGTAACAAGATATTTGTGCAGTGCGCGTGACTACACACCAGTACACAGTGACTTTGACAACACACTGAGAAATGTAGTCTATTGATTTTAGTAGACCCTCATTCATCCTGCGTCATAGTGATTCACGACCCGTGATACATTTAAAACCCATAACAACACACTAGTGCTGTTGAATAAAAACTAGTTACACTGACTGATAATTGCATCATTATTAGTCGTTGTGACAACACACTAGGTTGATGTGACTAAACACTGGTTAAATAGCAGTCTGTGTGACTACACAATGGTTCACTGTCAAAAAGTGTCAGTAGATATTATTGTGTAGTCTGTGACTGTGAGTACATAATGTTCTAATGTTAATCGCATACTAACATAAATAAATTGCCTATAAATATGAACTAATGTTCAATGTTCAATGTACATAATTTATCTCTAACAATGAATTTTAGTCTGAAAACCCTGTTTGAAACTTTGGGTTATCATTGGGTTTTAGAGGATAAGTTCTTTTACCCAATGAATCCTCAGTTACACTATTCAGTAACAGCTATGAACACAATGATGGTAGAATGGCAATATCGCTTGACAAAAAGAGAAAATCTAAACTTAGATTTACGTTCTTACAACATAAGAAGGCCTCGACAGGTTGCCATTGATATGCCTATCAACACTTCTCAACAATTAGAGCGAGCATTGTTTCGCATTCGAGTTAAGAACAATCGAATGGCAATCCGTTGTAATCTGCGACGTATTGTAAGAGACCGTGCTATAGAAGGGAGGATGCAAGAAGCAAGTTTAAGCTACCAATTGAGTGGTGAAGCTTGATGTATTTCTGATCATTACCTGTCTGACGAAGATGAAGGCCCATGAATAAGTGTCCTTGAAATCTTGTATTGTAATATTTACACTTTCGTCGTCGTACTTGTGTGTGCAATATGTTTATGTATTTTGTTTCTATGAAATATGGTGCACTACTCCAGTTTGTAATGTTCATCTAAATTTAAATAATTTATGTTATGTTATTCAACAAACATGTCTTTAGAGTATTGAATAAATAATTTGAAAGGCAGTAATGAAATAACATTACATGAAACTATGAACACAAACATATTTTATATACAACAATAATATTTACAAATTTTATACAAACAAGTATAAAAAAAATACTATGTCCCACAAGGCGGTGGTCTCCTCTGCCGCTTGGGCCGCTGACCATCAGGCAGAGGCGATATATCTTCTATGACTCCACCATCTACTGGATCATGTGTATGGTGTGTATGTTGATCGACTACATGCCGACCTTTGCCTCGACCTATGTGTGACAATGATGGCTCCTGTGTAACTCCCTCAGTTGGAATCTCAGCATCATCGGAGCGATCATCGTATGGAACAGGAGAAGTAGGTCGTGTGGGCATCGATGGAACAATACGTGGAATACATGGCCCAGCAGGTGGAAGTGATGTATCTGCCGTAACGCTTGGCGCTAGTGTAGGTGTGAATGGAGTCGTCGATGCATCAACACCGGGAGAGGTCAGCGGTGGCGCACATGATGTAACATTCGGACGATCAAGCGGTGATGAAGACTGATGGTGAACGACTAGTGTAGGAATGTCAAAATCATAAGTTGGGACATATGGGGTAGATGGGTCTGCCTCTGCAACAGTCTGTGGAACATATCTAGCTGATGGGTCTGCCTCTGATGGGACATATGTCATAGAAATATCCACGTCCGGTGAGGGAGTCTGCTCATGTGGGCGTGCAACTGGAGGTCAAGGTATACGTACTCCCCGCTGTCGTGCAAAAACTAGGGCTGCAAC